TCAATGAGAACTCGAGAGGGGTAAATTGAATACCGTAGGAGAATTCGACCGAACACTACATTAGGCTAGAATCTTGAATTGATAACTAAGGCGATCTTTAGGTGAAATTGTTCCGCCCTAATACTTCTCGCATATTTAAATCTTTGATCTGTTTGTCTCCAATATTCCTTCATAAATTTTCATTCGTTCTAGGAATTTAGTTCTTTTAAAACATCCATATTCCTTATAATCTGAATTTAGAGTTTGTTTAATTTCATCAAATAGTAGTAGGAGAAATATATCCAATACTAAAGTATAGTTTTCGTGGGAACGATAATCCGGACTCTTAGGTCCGTTATATTACTTGTTACGATATCGTACACTTGCGATATAAAAATACGCAACAGAGAGCCTTAGATCTTGGCTCTGGCTATTGGTTGTTGTGATTGAACTTGTGTTTGTTCATTGTGGTGAATGGGATTTTGATGCTTCTGAGGCTGTTGTTGGTTATGGTGGTGGAGCAAAATTGGATCTTGAATTCCTTCAAAGAGAGCCATAGATCTTGTCTAGTGCTCCTATTCAATCTCCTAACCACACATGCCATCAAAATATTTATCTGGTTAAATGTTTTAGAGCTTCCATAGCTATCTTGGGAGGCTGCGGCATTGGAGCACTGATTGCTATTGCTGGAACTAACAGTACTTTGTTAGTTTCATGTTTGTGCATTTCTGTGTTGTTTGCTTCAATATCTTCAATCATTATTGTTTGGTTGTCTCCTATGATTCCTAATTTTACTGGTTCAGGAATTCCTCAGCGTCCCATCGGGAAGGACTTGATAGTATCTGCAATAGCATCGGAGTCCAACGAAGGGGGCAGAAAGTTCACGTTCAATTTTGAGTTCGGATTCACATTACCCCTCTGGTGCAAGCCTTGCTGCTCACTTTCACCTCCCAGCATTGTCATTGCACTTTTGCTCAATTTTAGTTGATTTTGTTGTATGAATGAAAAATATTATTTTGTTGAAAATTTCTTATATAAATGGCAAAAGTATTATTTATACAAGTCAATCAGTGCTGGAAAAAAAAACCTTGGATCCGACCCGATTCGGTCGGGTCGGGTCGTGAAAGAGTCCAAAATCGAGTATGTCGGGTCGGTTTTGGGCCAAACCCAGTCCGACCCAATGCCCACCCCTACCTACAACCTCCATTTCGCTATAGAAAAAAAATCAAGGATACACCATATACAAAAAAAATTAAAGAAATGGGGTTTTAATTTCCATTACCAGACATCGTGCGCAAATGAAGAACCTTCTTCTCAAGTTGGTTTGTGTCCACGAGGTCTTCTGCTAAATCTCCATTCCATATTTGTAGAGACGAGACTCTATTTCAATTTCAAATAAAGTGGATTACTGACAAAAAAATATTTTTCCTTACTTTATGTACCATTCTTATCAGCCAAACAGGCCCTTAATAAGTGATGAACATGGAAAGTCAGTTATGCCCTTTTAAATTTTTCCATCTTTAATTGGAATTAACGACAGCAGTAATGGACGTGTATGGCAAGTGTCGTTCGCACCTGAAATGTTGTATGGGAGGATTTTCAATCAATTTTAAAAAGCAGGGAATATTTAGCAATAAGCTCATATAATTGAGTTATTGCGCCAATAAGCTTATTTTTAAGAGTAAAGCTACCGAGACAAGGTCAAACCTAGGGTAAAAAAAATAGGAATTTAAATTAGAGTGAGGTGGCATCAATAATTTGCAAATTGGAGCTTTAGTGGACCTGACTTGTGGATTGGGCCGATTTTTTGAAATCCATTCCAAATTATTAGAAAAAGTCGTTCCCAAATAAATCATTTCTTCTTTCTCTCGAAGTCGCGGGTTCCCGGAGTGAATGTAGATTTTTTTGGCCTTCGACGAATTTGAGAAAATCTGTTCCATTACCTTGCCCGAAAAAGTGTGAGCACGAGTGAAAGTTGATTTTTGGGGGGTTTTGAGGAATTGGATGTTATCTTACTTTGTCCTAAAAAAGCCCCAAATTCTCTCAAAAGACAGAGACCGCTCCCTGTCGAGGTGTTACTCCTTATTCACTCACGTTAATAGGTTAAAATTTCTGTCTACTAGAAGGTAGTTTAAATGGTAGTGTTTCTGTGTATAAGCAGACTTAATTTTCTCCTCCTTGAAGCGATGTGAAAATTGCCCAAGCTTTTCCCAATTTAGTTTGGAAGTTATCTGCAAAAACTTTAGCATATGAAGATGAAAACTATTCTATGTGGCAGCTACGGAAGCCACAACTACAAGATAATAACAAAAAGAACCCCCAGATGCAAACTTTCAACAATTGATATCAAAATCTTTTTTTTTTTGTGGTAGTGTAAAGTGGTTATAATATATTGCTATTACAAAATATTTTATCTAGCAATATCTATGCAAACAAATCGTCACATTGCAACAAAAATATTTTATCCTAGATTCCACCTGATACTCATGACAATGACTTATTTCATAATGCATTCTTGAAAATTCTGTTAATATGTTTTTTATTTATTTATTGGTCTTACCAACAATTCAATGATGGAATGTATTTGTGATCTTTGAACATTGTTGGTCTTTGAAAATTGTTGCTCATCATTATGCCTTCCACTAATTCTTCCAATGTTTGCATATCTTCTAGATGAAACTAATTTGTCGAAATGCCTTTTGTAGAATATGGAAGACGTGCAGAACGATCACGATGATTTTTTGGTGGAATTTGATAATGAGAACGTGATGGACTTTGTGAACGTAGTCGAATGTGAAAAATTGGGGAAAATGGTGAAAATGTGCCTAAGGTTGGTATGTTATTTAAAGATGAAAAAGATATGTATGAGTTCATGAAAAAGATATGTATGAGTTCTACTCCAAATATGCTTATGCTGTTAGTTTTCCAGTAAAGAAAAGGAATTCGAAAAAAGGGGATGATGGGGTCTTGAGATATGTGACATTGACAAGTAGTCGTAAAGCTAGGATATCAACAGTGAAGATGGGTTGTAAAGCTAGGATATCTGCATTTTCAGATCTTCTTGGGATCTGGAGAATTTACGCGGTCCATCTTGACCACAATCATGAAACAAGTCCTTCTAAGTCCAGGTTATATCGATGCAATTGACGTTTGAGTGAACATGTGAAACGGAAGATTGAAGTGAATGATTTGGCCTGGATTCCGTTGCATAAAATTTACAACTCTGCAGTGGTAGAAGCAGGTTGATACGAGAACATGACTTACATTGAAAATGATAGCTGGAATTATATAGAACAAGTAAGGCAACTACAACTTGGAGAAGGAGATGCAGCAGCAATATAGGCATATTTTTCACAAATGCAAGCACAAAGCCCAGGGTTTTACTTCAGTATGGATTTGGACGACGAGCCACGTCTTAGAAATGTATTTTGGGCAGATTACCATTGTAGGCAGGCATAGGAGTTTGGCGATATAGTTACATTTGATACCAATATCTCAAAAATAAGTACGACATGCTTTTCGCCTCATTTGTTGGTGTCAATTATCATGGACAATCAACATTGTTTGGCTGTGGTTTGGTATCGAGTGAAGACACAGATACTTTTGTGTAGTTGTTCAAGACATGGCTTTAGTGCATGCATGGTGAAGCTCCACATGGAATAATTACGAATTAAGATAAGATTATATGCAAAGTGCGATTCAGATTAATAGCAGGAGAATTACATAGAAATGGCCAATGGTGGAGGCTGGTTTCTGTGTCTTTCGAGATAATTTGTGGCTTTTTTTTAGGGCAAAGTATGATAACATCCAGTTCCTCAAAACCCTCCAAAAATCAACCTTCACTCGTGTTCACACTTCTTCGGACAAGGTATGGAGCAGATTTTCTCAAATTCGTCGAATGCCAAAAAAATGTACATTCACTCCGGGAACCCGCGACTTTGAGAGAAAGAAAAAAGGATTTATTTGGGAACGACTATTTCTAAAAATTTGGAATGAATTTAAAAAAACCGGTCCGGTCCACAAGTCAGGTCCACTAAATGCTTCCCTCCCATTTGCAAGTTATTGATGCCACCTCACTCAAATATAAATCCCTGTTTTTAACCCTGGGTTTGACCCTGTCTCGATAGTTTACACTATTTTTAACCCACCAAATATCTTATCACGTTGTACATATTTATTTAAATCAATTCCTCTAATTGATGCATTGGCAGAAATAATTGGGCATCCTTACTGACTCTGTTTTCCGCTGGGTTGGGGATGGGGGATGTAAACAGGGGCTGAAATTCCCTGTCTCCAGCGAGTAGCACTAATCTTATTCTTCACCTCTGTCCTCCATTTTCAACCTAATCAAGTCAAATCAAATAATTCTCTATAAATTAAACAAAATAAAATTTCCTATTCGATTTTCAGAATGAATAATCACTTGGATTCATTCAATGAGAATTGCTGGTCTGATCTGATTGATTACAGCGACCTGCTAAACGACATCGAGCCGATCGATCTTTCTTGGAACCGTCCATCCCACACCCAAAGGTTTTATCAGTTTTTCGTCTTTTCGGCTTTTCTCATCTTAATTATTTTATTATTATTAAAAAATATTTCTTGGGCTATGATAATTCCAACCGTTCTTGTACGCGCAATATATATATATATTTTTAAATTTTTTATTTTAGATTAAAATTTGATTCATCCGATAACGGAAAAGTTTGATGTGTGGGTGTTATTATGCAATCCTTTTTTTTTTTTTTGGGTAAATGTATTTGATTTTCCTTAAAATGAGGGATTTAAACTTATGGGCTCTGTTTGGAATTGGAAAATCCAATTAAAAAAAGAAAAAAAATTGTGTCATGTTAAATATCTGAAACTTGAAATTTAAGTCTGTATCACTAACAAAGAACAATGTCAATTTTTTAGGCAGTTTCACTTAAGTCTGTAGAAGGCTGGATTTGACCTAAATTATGATAATTGATGGGACTAATTGTTCTCAATCTTATTTGGTTAAATTTTATTAGCAAACTGTAGATTGTTTTACTAAATATGTCAGAATGGTCTTAATATGATTTACCATTTTTGTTGCAGTATTGCGGTGGGAGTAGATGTCTCTCTTAGTGGTGCGGCATCACAAGGAAGTGAATGTGCAGAAAAAGAATGCCCGAGAAAGAGGTAATTATGAAAATAGTTTCCTTTTCTACTTTGGGGGAAGCTCATATTTTTCTCTGTTCTGATTGTTGTGAAGACCGAGTTTAACTTTTGAATGCTCTATGCGAAATTAATAATGTGAGCTTATTCTAAAATTGCAGCTAACATATGAGAAATGACGGAGTTCAATAGATTGGAAAATTTAGAGACAGGTTTTGAGTAACATATATTTTCTTTTGATAATTTAAACAGCTATGGCTTATCAAATGTACCATGTTTTGTTCAGTTTAACAGCTTTGCTCCTCAATGGTCACCAGTTCGAATCCCCTCAGGGCCACTGAGATGAGTACCAGGTCGTAAACTTCAGGGCCCCGTGTGATTAATCGAGGTGCATGTAAGCTGGTTCGGACATCCACGGTTATAAAAAAAAAAAGTTTAACAGCTAATAAAAATAAAAAAATGAGTAAGATTGATACATTTATGAACACAGAAATACAACTACAGCGGCATCTAGTTTCTGTAAAAGTTAGAATATTAAATACACTTGTGAATTAATGGCATCGATATGGATACAGTGGCTAGTCAAATGCAATAGATATATAGTTAGGGAGCGGTGGTTGATTCGGATAATTTAGCAATTATATAGTGCAGAATCTATAAATTTAAAAAGATATAACCTCTCTGTTCTTTCCATCCAACTTAAGAAGGGCTAAAGGTTTTAAAAATAAATGTGTAGGTGGGCATATCCATGTTTGGTGTATATACCAAGAAAGATGTACGGTTTAATGAGGCTACTAACTTTATAAATGAGTACCCACCCCGCTTTACAGTCAAAATATTTAGCGTACTCATTGAGTAAATCTGGTCAGCATTGTCTTTCAGAGTCTATATGAGTCATCTATCAGCACACTGTAACCTTTTGATCTCAAGTGGGCTAACTCTAGTTTTCGCATATTGACTAGAACAAGTTTGAATCACTGTTGATAGTGTCGTATTTGTGTGATGCAGAATATGTGTAATGATGTTCTAATTTATGATTCATCTTTTAACCTGATGTACAGATGCATTTTGTTTAAATGCTGTACTTATTATATTAAAATATCCAATAAAATCAACTTCGATAAAATTAAAGTTTGGTGGTTTAGTAGAGATGCTTGAAGAAATATTCCTTTACTAGTACTTTAGGTAATAAGTTGGATTGATTAATTATTTAGCATCCTCATCCTATATAATTGTGAATATGACAAGCTCAAGAAAATTTGAGAATGGACTCGAGGAGGACTAAACTTACATGTATTCTTCTAATTGTATTATATTTAGATAAATCACTCGACTTGTTTGATTTGAAGTCCATAAGTTTGTGGAAAATTAGATTAGATTTAATGGAGATATTTATTCTATTCTTTTCCTGTCGTGGCACTATACAGGGGGCATGGTGACCTGTGCAGAGTAGGAACTAAAGCCTGCCGGGAGAGAATAAGGAGAGAGAAATTGAATGACAGGTGCCTTAACATCGAATTTTGGTTGAAATGTTTCTAGTTTTTGCTAGGTTATTATCACTGGTGCCCAAATGCCTGCATTTTTGTTTTCATGCAGTTGACATGTTCATGTGACCTTTTATTTCTGTATGAATATATTTTTTTATGAATGCAGTCTACTTTAATTAAATGCAGTTTATTGAAAGGAAATGAGAAAAATTGTGGTGCTTTTAACTTTCAAAAAACCAAAAGCAATATAAATGTTGATGGTGCTTTCCATGTAAAGATCACATTCATCCTGCATGCAGGTTCTCAGATTTGTGTGCTATTTTGGAGCCTGGCAGACCTGTGAAAACTGACAAATTGGCCATACTTGGTGATGCCATCCGAGCTCTGCACCAGTTGAAAACTGAATCTGAAGAGTATAAAGAGATGAATGAAAAGCTTTTGGAAGAGATCAGGATATTGAAGGTTAGAGAGGATATTTTCACATAAATTGTTATAGCCGTCTACCAATTTTTTTTTATTATTTTTTTCCCCCTTTTGGGTAGTGAGGTTCTGCTAGGAGTCTGGTGCATGTGATACCCCACAACTTTGTTGATACGTCTCGTCTATGTTAGTATAATATGATCATTCTATAATTGATTTAAGATTCTAAAGTTTTATAAGAGGATGGCTAGTCAAGCTGCGATTTTCCGAGCCAGGGTAATGAGAAGATGAATGTTTCTTCATATGTCCAAATGAAGTTACGTCAGGTTAAGCTGCCAGAATTCTCTTTTCGAGATACTATTTGAAAACCAATCTTTGACAGTTGTGCCATTTTATTCACAGAAATTGATAACAGAAATTACTATAAAGATCTCGCCAAAAACTTTTGTTGTCTTATTCACTTGAATATTGTTTAGAAGTTCTCTTCTGAACACCTTCCTTCATCACCATGAAAATACACAGAAAGAAAAGACCTTCCTTCATGACCATTTCTTTAATCATGTACTCAAAAGAAGACTACTTCCCTTTATGATCATGAACATATGGAGTTACAACGAAAGTTCCTTTACCAAGATAAATAGATAATATATTAATCTTTTTTAACACATTCCCATTGTTGTTATTCTAGACCACATTTCAAGTCCAAAAGAAAAACTAGGTGATACTATGATCTCAACCTATATTCATCTTATATATTGATAAAGATGTTTCCCATACTTGTTATTTCACCTTCTGTTCTAAATCAGGCAGAGAAGAATGAACTTCGTGAAGAGAAAAATGTACTCAGAGCAGACAAAGAAAGAATGGAACAGCAATTGAAAGCCCGGCCTCTTCCACCTGCTGGGTTCATGCCAGCACATCCACCACTATATCAGGCAGGGGCAAACAAGATGCCGATGTTTCCCGGCTACAGTTTTGTCCCAATGTGGCAGTATCTTCCGCCATCTAACCGTGATACTTCTCAAGATCATAAACTCAGGCCACCTGCTGCTTGATGCTTTCGTAAGTTAGTTGCAGGGTGTAGCTAGTAAAGAATCTTAACCTGGCATTGCTATCTACTGTGTTTGTAAAAATCATTTACTAGTCAATTGCTTTGACATTGCTCAAATTTCTAGTCTCCGGGTTGGATGAATGGTCAACAATTGTTTAGGAGGGAATTAGATAACATTTATATTCCAAATCTTCAGTTTAATAAGATGTTTTCCTTATCCCCCCCTCGGTTCTCATATTTCATTGTAGATGCTAGGGCCAAGTTGAGTCTTGCTGAGGCAAACCTATGGACTGATTTTACTCGTTAAATTTTTCGTTCAAAATTTACTCTCTTTTGGTCTGCCTTGTTCGCCTGCACGGGACTGCAGACCATGATGCCAAGCGCAACTAGTTCTGCCAACACGGCTCACTTTGACACCAGTATATCTATGTACAGTTTCCTCTCTAAAATCCAAATTCTTAATAACAGAGTACAAAACTTTGTATTTCTTGACATGAATAATTAGGCATGGCCATGTTCAATGATTCCCACCTGCTTATTCTTCCACAATCTGAAAATTATAATTCAATCCAAACAAAGCACCCTTAAAGAAACTGTTTACAAAATCCATGTACACGGAGAAACAAGACTCATTGCATTTTCATGCAGTATAATTTGAAATGTTAGAAACACTCAAAACCAATCACAGAAGCCGCAGTTTTTCAAATGCTATCTACAAAATCTTCATCACATTACAAAAATAAAACATGTATCTGCACGTCGCCTACTTGTGTTGTTCGTTTTTACCTCTAAAAATCAGAAACAAAACGTTGCAAAGAATACAGAACCTTAAGATGTACAAAAACCTAAACTGCAGCAACAAGCCAAAACATGATGAGAGAAGAAATTGCTATAGTTATCCAACTCAGAAAGGCCAATGCAACTGCCATTTGGTACTTTGAGCATTCTTCTCCCAGGCTGCAACCTCCCAAGTCATCAAAATACAACACGGTTATGCCGGCTGAGGAAGCAGCTGCTGCGAGGGATAATGTTGCAGTAACCTGCCAAGTAGTTTATAAACTACACTGTTAAACGTTGAAGACAACTTAAATTAACAAATTTATCGTCTCTTCAACAACTTAAGCTTTTAGATAAGACATTCAGCATAATATCATAACAATAAAAAGAACTGAGTTTAAGCCTCGCTATCACGAGTTTATTAAAATTGTGAGCCTTCGATGAAAAGTGTATTTGACTTGCACATGAGATGGCCTATTGAAGACAGTTTAAATAACTAAAAATTTACAACCCCCACCTTAGCTTAAGCTTCTAGAAGAAGCGGTTCAACAAACTAACGGAAGGTTGCAACTGATTAAGAAGAATTCTATGAAGAAATTTGATACTGACCCAATCTCCGACTGCAAATAGGCTGAGTAGAGTAGAATTGTGAAGATCCTTCTTCTTTGACAAAGCATAGACATCCATGGCAGCTAGTCCAAAGCTCCATATTGCTTCCAAACCCATTGAAGCTATTAAGTAGCTTGAACAATGATAAGAATT